GTGAGCTCTAAGGCACAGCGCAGAGCAGGGCTGGCTCTGCAGAGATTGCACCATAGCGCTTGCTTACGGCCATGAAGGCAGAATGACATTATGCAGAATGTAGGCTGCATTATGCTCATTTGTTATGACCTTTTCCCCCTCAGCATTGCATTATAAAGATAACGTATATATATATATATATTGATCATCTCTGTGGGGGCCTGTGCTCACAGCTTTTACAACATGTTAATAAGTAGAGCTTTCACAACACAGAGTGAGGTTGAATTGTGAATTTAATATACTTGTTTTGTCTTCCTGATGTCTATTTTTGGAATTAATTAATCCAGTGTTGCCCCTAACATTATCACTCATTTCAACCACCCACCCACTAAGACCCACCATTAATCAGGCAACATAACTATAAGGGCTGTATGTTATTAAAATGATTTCACCCCTCAAAGTAAATGTATTCCCAACACTCTTACCCAGTTACAGTAATTTAACTTTTAATACAAAGCAAACTACTGCACTCTCGCTTATTGAAAAAAAACACTCACTGTATACAACAAAATTACATGTTTCTAAAAGAGTAGTTTATAGTGCCCATTTTAATTCAAATTATTCATCCACAAACAAAAATGTACCTTTGTATTAAGCTGATGATAATATTATTTTTAGTAGTTGTTTTTCTAAAACATAGCTTTAAATTTAAGAAGATGCCCTGGTGGCTGACGATGTGCTGTAGCGTCCCCAGTTCATTGCAGCTGTCAACCTTTGTTGCATATCCTTTCCCATCTCTTTCTCCTTTGCTTCCATCTATTAGTTGTCCATTCTGTAATGCAGGAATAAAAGGTAAAAAAGTATAAATTAAACAATAAATAGAAACAATTCATATGTCCTATTCTGCTAGGTTCTGGTAACCCAGAAAAGTTTGAAACTTCAGGAGTAAAAGAGTCATCGGTCTAAGGCAAGGCAGACAAAAATGTTTTTTAGAGCAAAACACCTGCCCCAGAAAAACCAACAACTGTATCTAACATTGAACCCAGTCCAGGCCTGAGGCCAACACACCACACGTCAGGTCAGGCTGCAGCTCTGCTGTAAGATTCAACATACTGTAGAGAGTGTTTCTATAGCCACTTTGGTAAGATTTGGCTGGATGCTCTCCAAGCTCCCGCGGTGCTTGTATGATGCTGAACTTTTTGTAATAAACCTTTATAT